TAAATCTAACTGTCTTCAGGAGCACTCTGTTGTGGAGACTGCTTGTTGTCTGTCCTATATCCATTCTCCTCTACTTCCTGTGTTGTCAACAACCCTCATGTTGTCAGGGGGTAGCAATGTTCTCAATTAAAAAGCTATATTCCTCTGGCTGCTGTGGAAACAGTGGCCAATAAAGATGTAGGCAGAAAGGGTTAGTTGGGAGTTCTGGGAAAGCTCTTTAAAGAAGCCTGATGTCTGGAATGCCTAGCCTTTTATCCTCCCACTTTCCTCTTTCCTCCTTTGTGGAATGCAGATGTGATGGCTGGAGCTGCAGCAGCCGTGTCAAAACCATAAGATAACTTTGAGGAAGGAAACCAGTGCTAACAGAGAGGACAGAGAAGGGAGATGAATGAACTGGCTGCCCACTGACCCTCTCCCTGGACAGCCTGCTTCCAATCTTTTTCTGTCCCAGACAAAGTAAGCTTGACACTTACTGGAGCCACTGTTAGTTTGTAAAGTTTTCCTTTGTATCTGTCTAAATTGACAGAAACCCATGCATCCCTCTCACACTCTGTGAAAGATTTGTCCAGGGAGAACAGCTAAAATACATTTCTGCCATTGCTAAAAATTCCAAAATTATACGTATGATCAATATTTGAAAGGGCCACATGGGGAGAGAAAGGCTAAACACCTCTGTGACAGAAGCCCTCACTCGCAGGGTGATCGATTCTAAAAGCAAAAAGTTGAGCAGGAAAGCCACAGTGGATAAGATTCGCCATCACCATTAGCTTTCTTGATTATAAAAAAAATGCAATAAAACCAGGTGGTTATTGTTCTGTTTTAATCAGAGTAGTCATCAAGCCTCCTGACCACTCCTCCTTCCTGTGGACCCAACTTCCTTCTGATCCTCTGTTGGCTTCTCCCTGCCTGAGCTCTGTGGTCTAACCAGAACCCTCTAGAAGCCATGAGGAACCCCAGCTCTGCCCCGAAGCACCGGACCCAGTGCACGACCGCCCTGCCTCCGCACCGTAAACAGAAAGGGGTGTCTGCACTCTGGCACAGGTAACCGCTGGGGGAGAAAACCACCCACAAAGTGGCACCATTTGTAACTGGTCACCACGAGACAGCCATGGCCAGCAGGCAAAGCCTACACTCTCAGGAAGAGCTGTCGAAAGCACCCGGTGCCCAACAGTGCGAGGTGATACCAGAGAAGGCTGACTGAGCCACGGGACCCACCTGGCCCTTCTTCCGGACCCCTGCAGAATGAGCGTGAAGATTTGGCTTCTGGGGACACGGCGTGATCTTGGGTACCTTCAGAACCGGCGAGGAAAGGCCATGTTATGCTCACCCTGGTTTTAGTTTTAAGTGTACCTTACTTAATATTTTCAATATGAGTCACCTCCACATACTGCGATGGTTTTCAAATCAGCAGAAGTTGCCTGTAGCTGGCTTTAGTCAGGAAGCGTGAGTGCAGCATCCATCTGTTTCCACTCTGGAAGCAGGTCTGAGGCCAGTGGTCCTGGCTTCTCTGGCCTGCGGCCCCAGTCTGCTGGATTACAGACAGCACCCTCTTGGGTCCCCTGCTTCTCCTGATGCTCCTCTCCTGATGGAGGCGAAGACCCCCTCCGTCAGCCACGTGTATCTTGAAGCGGCCGCTCCGTCTGATACACCTGCCTGGGACTCCTGTACCTGGAATAGGCTGAGCAGCTGGCCATCCTTCCTGTCTGCCAGGGTGGGTACGTGTGCGCGCTGGGGGCAGCGGGTTAAAGGAAATGCACAGAAAGCTACTGCCCTGTGGTTGGGCTGAAGGAAGGGGGAGCTGCTCTCACCGCGTGGATGTTAACGATGAAAACGATGGTGGCCACGGCAGTGAGCATAGTGACAGTGTCTAGAGCCCCAGGTTTTCCCAGAGACACCCCGGAAGCATCCTCCCTTTACCTCATCAGATCAGAGCAGGACACAGATGAGATCTCGCTTCAGGAGCATGAAGGCCAATTCTTTATGGACACCCCCAGGGCCCGGGGCCCAGGTAGACATAGAAAGGTGTCTGGATGCGTGTCTGAATCAGTGGAGGTGTACTTAACAGCCGTCAAGTCCCCTTGCAACTTGTGTGTGAAGCATCACTGATCTTTCCAAGGCCCCGGGAGGCGGGTACTCTTATTAATCCCATTTCACTGTGAGGAAGGTGAGACCCCAAGAAGTATAAGTTGCCCAACGTGAGGGTGAGCTCTCCGTACAGCAACGGGTAGTGCGGACACCTGTCAGCTTCCATGAAAACCTCTGGGCGGGAAGTACTGAGAGCGCAGGTTGGGGTGCTGATGAAAGGGGAGGGGTGGTCGGCAGGGCCAGCCAGCGACAGGCCAGTCTCTAAGCCGAGGGGCGCCATGACCACGGGGCACTGGGCAATTTCCAAATGTCATCAGACTGTCAGCACTTTTCTTTTCGCAGTAGGTGTCCTTTTAAAATATCTGCTCAGTTTCTATCATAGAATGTTTCCTTTTCTCACTCCCTGCCTGCACCCTCACTTAGAATCAGCATCTTTTGGTAGTTGGAAAATATGACAAAGCAGCAAATCGTATTAATGAATACTCGGTTCTCAGATCTGCCCAGGGCCTTATTTCTGGCTTTTTAAAATGACTCTCCTGATTATAAGAGTGATCATATCAGTTCACCACAGGCTTGTTTCTCATGGGTAAGTTGACTTCCAGTGTTCATACAACTGCTCGAATTCTACATGAAAGAATACAGTCCATACCTCGGATGAAATCAACCACCTCAAAACTACTTCCCAACAGCGTTTTTATCCAGGAGGATTTAAAGACACGGGAGCTGGGGATAAACACACGTCTGATACCTGGCATGTTCTCTGAAATGGGAACAAGAGAAAGTGCTAGTGCACCCACACCACTGAGACACCGCCTAGGACATTTCGCCTTGTTGGGCTCTGTTCTCCATGGAAGTGGCGTTTCTCTGTGCGCTTACATACTTACTCACCAAGAGAGACAGACTGGGCTGGGATCCCACCTCAGAAATCCCTGGTGTCGGCCTTGCTGAGGTCCTGAGTTTCAAGACTCTCAGCCTTGCCACTGAGAACACTGAAATCACAGGATCTTGCCTGGAAAAGTCATGGCGCTAACTCAGAGGCCACAAGCCCAGACACCTTCAGAGCCCAGGTAAGGAGGGAAGCAGGTAGAGCTAACATCGACGGGGCTCCTGCGGTGTTCAAGCGCTGTTGGAAGCAAGCACTGGACAGATGCTGACTCTCCAAGCCCTCCCAGCAGCCTCTGAATGTCATGGTCCAAAAGCCCAAGGCTTCCAAGCCAAGGCTAATCAGGGCCTTGCAACATTAGGGTTCCATGGACCTTGCGATCTAAACAATAGGGGGTCCCACCATAGTTAGCTGAATCCAAAAATCCAATCCTGGGCAGATGAGCGGAACTGGGGTGGGGGCGGGGAGGCTCAAACAAGACTGCATTTGGCCTTTGAGCCTCCCACCTGCAACCCCAGCTATTTAAGAAAGTTTTTTCTTAACATTTTTTTCAGTTTACAGATAAAAGGAGTAAGATTCAAGGGAGATTTTCTTCCTCGGAATCCTACTGTCTGATTTGAAGGTGACGTGCCCTTCCTCCCTTCCACCCCCCCCCCCCCCGTGTGTCACATGCAGAGTGCCAGCTTTGACACTCAGGCGGTGACCCGCTCCCTGCTCCACTTGATCCCCCAGCAAGTGTGACGTCACAGTCCACTGGAGGCAGCTTTAACCCCAGGCTGTCCCTGCCCTTCACAGACTCTGTATTTTTAATTTAACGAATTGTATGCCCAACCAGTTTTATCAAGGCAGACCCTAAAAATGATGGAGATCAGCCAAAGGGGAGGGTCCCGGCAGAGGGACCTATTAGCAAAGGGTCTTCTGCAGGGGTGCACTGGAAGGCTGGGACTAAACTGGGAGGGGGCGGGGAGGGGGGTCACAGAACAGGGAAGGTACCCAAAGTTGAGTCTAACCACAGACCAAACAGCCCAAGCGTCCCGGAGGGGCCAGCCAGCCACGGTGCTGTGCCCCAGGGCAGATCGCATGTGCTCTTCGAGGTGCTCCAATTTTAGCAATTGGTGCTGACTCATTATTAACCCAGAAAGCCCACACACTCAAATGACCCTACTGAAAAAGCTCCCTGTCATCTCCTGCTTACTGATCTGCAGTTTTTAAGCAAATTTAAAAAAAAATGTTTATCACAGGGTATTTATGACATTTTAACCGTTTGCATTTACAGTAACTAGAATGACATTTGAAAAAAAAGTTTCCTGTAGTTTACTTGACTGGAAGGCTAGGGCTCATCAGAATAGTAACAGGCTGAGAAACACATATCAAGGTTGTATCAGGCCTCAAGGGCTCAGCTATTCAATCTTCACCCACTGCCCCAGGCCCCCAGCCCACCATCTCTCAGCACATTTTCTTTCTGATTTTACCAGTTAGTGATAGTCACAAGCAAAAGGAAAAGGCATACAATAAGTTCCCAGCATCATTCACAGGCTCTTGGAGAGGGAAGCCAAAATTCTGCCTCTCTATTGTATTTCTTGCACTAAAAACTGGGCGGCTCAGATCATGCAGCCAGAAATGTCTCAGGGGGCTGTCTTCCTACACCTCAGAGAAGCAGAAGCTGGCCCAGCCTCCACAGCCATGGGTGAACACAAAGTCACCCACCTCTATCTCTGAACTTCACCATGGCTCCAAAGGGGAGTGTGGAACAGCTTATTTTCCAACCAAGCACAACTCTCTCTTCCGAGACAACGTAATGTACGACGAATGAATTTCTACACACTCCCAATTAGTGACTGAGATGAGCAGGCTCAGATGCAGTCATTGGGGGGGGGGGAGTGGGGGGAGAGCAGAGGAAGCAACTTTTCTAAAATCATGGATCCTCTAAGTCTCGAATGCATGCCCCCTCCAAGAAGCGACTACCGTAACCCAGCCGAGACTCTGAGGCAGACTATAGAAATGATTGTAAAAATGACAGAAACCTACTCACCGGGGGAGAAGCAGCTGGCTCCACCTTCCCAGGGCCCCGGGCCGTGAAGAACTGAAGCCGGCACTGACTCAGGCACAGCCCGCCTGGAATAGGAGTTCGCAACTTAGAAAGCATCGACCATGCAGTCACGTATTTCCCTCCATTCCCAGTGGTGTGTCCACATGACTGAGACCAGAAAGGAAAGAAAAAAAAAAAAGAGAGAGAGAGAGAGAGACAGAGAAAGAGAGAGAAAGAAAAAAGGGAAAAAAAAGAAAAAGAAAAAGAAAAAAAAAAAGGGCGCACACCTCAGCCTTCATTCTCATTGGAACAAGATGACTCAATGCTGACTCACAGCCGCCACTTCCTCTCCGGCATTCTCTTCATACTTGTGAGCTGGGCTGGTCCCGTTCCCAGGGTCTCTGCAGGCCTTCCTGGAAGAACAGCCTTCTGACCCTGGCAAAGTGGCCCAAACACTGACCTCACACGGAGTCCCCCCCCCACCCCTCCCCCACCCCCTCTCCCTCCCCTCTCCCCACAGGCAGGAGCGCCTACCCAGGGGAAATGCTTTATTTAGGAGATCTGAACCACAGAAAAAAATCAAATGCATGAATCTCATGCGCGTTTGAATTTCAAATATATGCTGAGATGTCATCTATCGCAAAGCTCATAGGAACCTCTTCCTCGTTTCAAGGCATTTCAGGGAAGGGAGAAGAAAGGAATGTTCTTATTCTTTAAGGAGGCTGGGCTTACTTTGCCCTGGCAAGGCTTCCTTCAGTGTGTGTTGCCTTCTGCATCTCTCCCTCTGACATAGCACATCATGGGATCTAACATCATGATCTCTTCCAAGCTCTTTATTAGGAGCGTGTGTGCTCTGCTTTTAGGAGTAAGGGACTCACAAAATCTTTTCTATCCATCTTGCAGACTGCAAGCATTTGCCAGATACGAATATTAAAACCTCAAGAAATGAAAGGAAGGTGTAACCATCAACTAGTAAAAACCGTTGATGACCGTTAACACGCAAGAACAGAGAGTAGCCTCTGCCTCCCAGTGATCTCTGGGATGCTATGGGGTGTGGGGCAGTCTTCCGCCACTTCCTGCATTTTTAAATTATGAAAGACCCCGTGACCGCAATAAGCTCCTGAGAAGCCAAGACGGGCAGCTGTGATTGCATTAGGACAGCCATGGTTTCTAGAAGGTGACACACATGGCCATGCCTGAACACTGATCCTCTTAGACATGTTTTGACTTAGTGCCTCCTGCCATGTAGACCACACCCTGATACCCTAAAAGATAGAGAAAATGAGATTATGTCTTGTGGGAGGACAAAAGACCCAGGCAAGCCGCATCTGTGAGCAGCGGACCTCACCCTGGTGGGATCAGAAGATCCACTTTCCATTTACAGCTCGGTCCATTTTAGGGAAGGACATAACTCCTATACCTCACGTTCTTCTCATAGGATAGGTAAGGCATTTTCTATCAGACAGGACCAAGGGCTCTGACTTCCCCACGAAAATTGCAGTGTGCCAGCTGGCCAAATATTCTCATTTTGTGCAGGGTTTTTTTTTTTCAAGAGAGGGAAAAGACTGTGGGTTTTCTGGAATTTAGGAATAGCTTTGCTGTGCTGTTCATTGCAGTGATTTCTTTAGGGGAGAATGGGGAATGCGGATGGGGGCTGCAGACTCACGAACAGCCTGAAGACATGGCTACAGCAGCACCTCATGTCATCCCCAAGGGACATATCTTAGCCAGTGGGGGCCCAGCAGCCCCGTGGGAAGTCCATGCTGATGCCAGGAGTCTGTGGGGGCTATCGACACAGGGGTCAGGGGTGGTTACTTTGTCCTATATGGAAAAAACCAGGCTTTATTTTACTTAGGAAGACTTGTATTAAATCAACTCATTAAACCCGGGGAGAGAACTAAAAAAATATATATGAGTTTTTAAAAATCACCAGGAATAAATGAAAGAAATTCAAAATGGTTGGGAACAGTAGGCTCCAGGTGGCAGCCACACCCTCCTGCCAGGAGGCCTCATCAGTATAGCGGTGGGCTCTTCCACAGCAACAGTGTTAACAGTGAGCCTTCTGGAACATTCCAGGTCAAAGCCTCAGACATGAAGCTGGGCCTCCTTCCAAAGAACGATTTGAGCCATGACTGTGGAAGGTCACTGGGACTATGTCTTCCCTATGTACTGTTTTGTTGAATCATCCCATGAATGCTATCTCTCAATTCCTGATTCAACTTCCATCTAGAGTTCCTCTGGTTTGGGCTGGAAAATGGGGAGAGGGTATTGGTGTGAGAAGGAGGAGGCCATTCCCTGCATATTCATAAATAAAGCATTCATTAAGGCATATGGGTAGCACCGCTTCCCATAATTGTTAATACGGAATGTTCTACAGTGGATTCTCTTTCAACTGGCTGATTTCTGCATCTTCCACCAGAAAGGAAACGATGATGACCCTCTGAACATGGCTACCTGGAAACACGATTGAAACTTCTACATGTTCTGTCACCAGTGAAAATAGCACTGTGAAAATTTAGGTTCCAGTGAATTAGGAAAATAATCAAGTTTTGCTCCTGAGGTGCATAGTCTGAGGACACATTGTGGGATTCTTATAAATATCGATGTTGAAGAATATTTGTTTATGCTAGTCACTCTCCTACACATGCACAGATATAACAACCTCTGTTCCTCAGAATAGCCCTCTGAGTAAAATCATCCCCACTTTCTAGCAAAGAAACCAAGGCACAGAGAGAGCCAGAAGGCTGCCCAAAAGTTGCGGAGCCCAGATGTGCACCCAGGCTGCCTGGTGTCAGAGCCCACATTCCTAACCCCCAGACCACATGAATTACCACAAGGAACTTATAAAGAGTCTTTGCACACACATCTCCTCACATCATGGTACGTTCTCCCAAATTCTGCAGATGTGTGTAAGGTAGATGTTTTGTCTGTTTGTTTGAGAAGTAAATCCAAAGCCTAGCCTCGGAGTGACCTATCCCTTACAACAGTAAGAGTTCTCACTGATGGAAAAAGCCGGTTAGAATTGCCCACCGGCACATCCTAAGAAGTACACAAAGCTGTACATGTCACCAATGCCTGCACAGACAGTACTCCTCCTAATCGGGGACACGAGGGCATCGGGGACCGTCCCTAATGGTCCTTCCGTCACTCGAGTAAACAGGTTTCCTCACCACTGTCTTGCCCAGAAGAAGACCCATCGCCTTATGGCAAATCCAGCACGGTCCTTCCCCCACACTCTATCCTTACTTCTTGTCTAGGATGTTGTTAATAATCAAATACAGGTATCTTCCCTCCAATATCCTGAATCTTTTCCCATCTGTGGGCCTCAGCACAGGCTCCAGTCACTCCCATCTCCCAAATCCTTTCCTTGCCTTTGATCTCGTGGAGTGGAGCCCATGGACGCCCCCCATTCATCTTATCCCTTCCCCATTAGTAGCAGCCCTGACACTTGTTTGGGACTGACTCCACCTGCATACCCAGAGCTTGGATTGGGGTAAGCAAAACAAGGGACTATCACCCCTTGTCACTATGACTGGCTCTAGGATAGGCCACCAGGCTTATGTTAGCTAGGGCCTGACTACCTCTAATCACGCTGATGGAGTCAGGGTTACCCAAGTGGAGCAAAGCCCAGGACTATGGCCATTGCTTCAGGGATGATAGGGAAGAATGAACAGAACTCAAGAGTCTCATCCTTACTCTTAAGTTTCAAAAACTTTGGACAGGGTATTATAAAGAGAGAAAAAAAATGATACGGAAAAATGAGTGAAGTCAGGCAACAATATAGAGTTGTGCAGGTTGTACACTGTGCAACCCCAGAGAACAAATGTACATACCCCATGATGTACACAATCACACATAGGAGAGGATACCACTCTAACACCATATTGGGATCCCACAGGCTGGGAGGTAAAGAGAACTGGGGAGAAACCATAGAGAGAAGAGTGAATCCTGCTCCCCCACAGGGAAGCATTACCACTCACCCCACAGCAGTCCAAGGACTCTGAGAGTAAAGAGACACCTGCAATTGGAGTGATGAGACATAAGAGTTTACTTGGCAGTGTTTCTTTTCTTCCTTGGTGGAACTTGGACTTGATGGTGGACCTTCAGTTAGATGGAATATAGTCTGTAAAGCCATGGGAGTGGATGAGTTCACCAGAGGAGTGAGTGTGGAGAAAGGAAATAAAAACTGAGCCCTGGGGCCCTGTAGCTTTAGCAGATCATGGGGTGAAAGGAGCCAGCAGAGAAGGGATAGTGAGGGAGGATGGGGGGCAGGGCCAGCCAGGTGGGAGGGGAGCCAGGAGAGGGCAGTGCCTGAGGTGGGGGGTGGAGAAGGAGCCTTAAGAGGAGAGAGTGATCAGCTGTGTAAGCACTGCTGAGAGATGACGGATTTGGTAAGCAACGTCTGTGTTGGGAGGAGTGGCTGAAGATCTGAATGGAGACAGGAGAGAAAAGGGGGAGAGAAGTGAGAAGAGACACCACTTTCTGGGAATAGCTATAACTGGAGAAGGAAATAGGGTCCAGAGAAAGGTCCTTTTTTGTTAAAAGAAACAGTAACTTGTCGGGATACTTACCTGATAGAAATGACTTCCTAGAAAGGGAAAAACTGATGATTCAGGAGAGGACCAGAGGGAATTTGGTAGAATAGGAGGGACCAGACCTACTGCTCAAGGGGAGGGCTCGGGCCCCGTAAGGAAGGGCCCTCCATAGCATCGGACATTGACCAGACAAGGAGGGGCCAATACATGCGTGTTTCCAATGCTCTTGTATATTTCATCATTCGTGGTAAAAGAAAAGTGACACCAATTTTTTAAATTTAATGACAAGTAGTACATGACTATAGTCTTTCTTCTAAAAACCTTAAATGATGACAGATAAAACTAAAAGTCCCCTTTGAAGAGGAGGTGGCGTTTTTCACTAAGGTAAGGAGGATGGCTTTCAGGGATGAAAGAGGCAGGATTTAGGGAAGTGGAGAAGAAGCATATGTTCGTAGGAAAGGGAGAAAAATACTAGAGAAAAATGTCCACGGTGGCACAGACTGGATGGTGGATCAGGCCTAGCCTCCCCAAGAGGAGGTTGGTGTGAAACTATCAATGAGATGGAGTGTGCCTCGCTGTGGGGCTGGACCCCACGTATTGACTCCATGGGGATGAGCCATGCTGTGGCCTCCATGAGAAG